CTATTTTTAATCAAATTTTCTCCTCTGCATTGAGCAACTTCACTACAATGCGGTTAAAAAACAGGCAGCCTACCAGCTCGATGGTCTAAATTTAATTATCATTACAAAGACAGGAATCTAAGCAATACCCATAAATATCTTCTATCAAATACAACGAAAGTGGAAGATAAAAGAACTTCCATTTTCATTAATGAATTCTGTGTCCGTGTGAGCACATCTGGAAAATGTTTGAGTTAATAAATGAACGCAGCTCTCCAAATCCTTATTTCACATCTGTGGATGGTAAAGAGGTAATGATGCTGTTGCTTCCATACACTCAAAGCTGCTCAGTCTCACTCCATTAAAAAAAACCAACCAAAAGTAAAAAAAACCAAACAACCCAAAGTCAAACTTCTCACCTCAAGGTTGCTGGGAAGGTATTTTCTTTCCAAATCCCACGGAGGTAACTCAGCAAACATCACCATTAAATGATCAATAAACCTAAAAGCCAAAATACACTTGGTTAGCTTAGATGAAGTGTTTGTCTTCAACAATTTGTACAGCTGTATTAGAATGAGGGTAAAAATCCTTTGGTCATGAAAGGGTGCAGTGAATACCACTGCATAAGAACCACAACTTTACTAATCTTCTTGCACTGTAATTTTAAGCCTTAAACTTATTAGTACATCTGAGGATGTGTGCACACACACGCAGAAGTTAAACTTTTCAAGATTGTTTAATATTGCAAGATCAGAAAGTGAAGTTAACACGAAGAAAAGTGGGATTCTCACTTTGCTTATAGTCTGGAAGGTCTGCAGCACCTCAGTCAGGTCTGCTGTAAGCCCTAAGGAAACGATGGGGCCACCGGTGGTTATGAGAAGTCTCTTTTGGAAGCTTAAATTTTTGAGTTTAAGCTTCCTCCCAAGACCCCGTATTTGGAGGGCTTCAAAACAGCCCCTTAATGCACCTCTAAAATCCACGAATGCGGATGTGTCACTGGTATTACCAGCCACTGGTCTAAGCTTGCACTGCAAGCCCCTTTAATCACAGTGGCTAAACATGACTTGTTTCTCTGTGCTATAAATTTAAGTAACGTTGAGATTTTGGCCCTCGTATTTTAAGGCGGTATACATAAATCATAGAGTAATTCAGGTTGGAAAGGACACCAAGAGGTCATCTAGTGCAAGCTCCTGCTCAAAAGCAGGTTGCTGTCTGTTCTCATCTGCTCAAACAAACACCTCCTGTTTTTTTTTCTGACACTGCACTCACCTGGAGTTCTCATGAAAAGCCGCAATGAAGTCTGTCTGCTCGTGCTCAGGGTACAGAAAGAGGACAGGCCAGTGCAGGCTGCCATCAGCATCCAAGTGCACCTTTGCCCCCGTGGCATTGTCAGAGTGGAACCCGTCTAAGGATATCTCAGCCAGGCCATCTGATACTTCCTCTTCTTCATTTGAAGGCTCAAGAACCAGCTTGATATTTCTTTCCTGAAGAAACAAAAACCAAACAGGTACAGTAGGGAGAATAAGAGGGAAAAACCCAAGCAGCTAGTAAAAGGACAAATTGTGCCATTCTTTTTCATGAATCAGCTCTTAAACATGCCATCAAAAGCTTTTCTGCTATATCAGATTCAGGTGAATGGTCTTCCCAGTAGAATTCAGAGGGCTCCTCATGGAAAGGATGAGGAGAGGTGGGAATCCAGAGGAGCTTGCACGCTGAAAGAAGAGCGTGAGAATATGTGGGAAAAGGGGTGCATCTGAAATCGTGGTCTTTGAGACCTAGCAGGCATAGCTTCAGAGTGCAACTACCTACACCAAGAACATCCACTCTCTCAGAGAACTGAAGAAAGCTCACTCTTTGGGAATACGACTGCAGAAGAGGAGATCAAATTTACATAATAGCCCAAAATACTTTAACATAGCCCAAACATTTGCTGAGGAAGAGAGGATCTGGGATTGATTCTCTCCTCCAGCCTAGTGGATGGTTATCTTCTGTCCTTCCACTGAAGCAATGTCCATCAGCAGCAAAGAAAGCGAGGTTCATTGGGCCAGTGCGATGCTACACCCCAGCAGCCAGAGCCCTCTCTTGGATGCTCAGTCCACCTCCTAACACGGTTTGTATTTTGCATTAGCTGTTACCTGAAACATGGAAACCTGGGAGCTGGGGCTAGAGCCAAGCAGATAAGGAGAATCATGGTTTTAACTCAATTTTTTGGCTCTAGCCCTCAAAAACCTGTGCATGAGAACAACCTCTTAGAGACAATCAGGAGAGCTCTTAAAAAAACCCAAACCAAACAACAAAACCAACTCCCCTCGCTGACCCACCTTTATTGCTGCAAGCAAAACTTCCTTTTGACACTGCTCTCTCTTCTCCATCGCCTTTGCTTTCCTTGCATCCCGCTCCTCAGCTCGCTGCATGTAAGAGAAGGTTGCACCACAGTCACACACAGCGAGTCAACGCCCACCACTGCTCTACCCTGCCAACGAGTGGAGAAATCGGTTTGGATCTCCAGAAGGGTCCTCTGCAGCTCTTTCCCCACACATCTCAACAGCACACACTACACAGAACCACCACTCAATGCTGCCTGGGAATACTACATTACACAGAAACTTATACAGAGCAGCCTCCAACCAAGGATGCCGAAGTCCTTCTTGACACAAAGCAGGTGACAAGCATTGTAGACGCTAGACTGCCTTAATATTTACCTTTAATTTGTCAGCTTTAGCTCTCATTTCCACAAGCTTTTTCTCTTTTGAATCTATCCGCAAGCCCTCCTCACACCATGCTATGGCTTCAGAGAAATTCTTCAGCTCCATGTGACAGAGAGCTCCTGGAAGAATTAAGATTTTAAGAGTCAGTACAAAACTGATGAGAAAAAAGATTTAAGAGTCATTATGAAACTACTACACAAAGTGGTGGTTGTAACGACAGCATTAGCCCTGGTGCTTTCAAGAGGCAAACACAGCAGTACATGCAGGGTCAAGTTCACTCACGGGCTTCCAGCAGATCAGCTGAGAAGAAAATCTAAAATATTTCAGCAGATTTTGTATCATTTGCTCATCTATTCACAGAAATTGGCAGAATGAAGTGTCCGTTACAAGCAAAATGTTATCGCTATAATTAACATTTTGGTGCTTGTCTCATAAGGAAAAATAAAGTGGTGATTTGCATGGAGTGAGAAATGCTGAAAAAAAAACAATCCCCAAAATGAGTACTGTGGGAAGCAGCAAAAAAGTATACTATGTCCTACAGAAACAGGTCCCACGCCTCTTTGACAGATGTGGAAGCTGAAGACCAAAACCACAGCACTTTGATTGAAAATCCAAAGTAAAACTGGAGTAAAACTCCCAGCTCTGTTTCTGGGAGAAAGTGTAAGAGCAAAACAAGAGATCTGACACAGTAACTGCTTTACTTTTCTGAAATGAATGCTACAAGGAAACAGCGCATGATGCGTATTCACAGTAATGTAAGGTTTATAAACAGTTATTTAACAGCCAGAAACGTGCGGTGAAACAAAGCAACACCTAACCACAGGGTTGTTAAGCTAAGAGTGCAACAAATAAAACTAACATATTCAAAGCTGTTTCGAAATTATGTTCCTTGTGCTCCACGCAGTAACACCTGCTTTAACTCTTACCTCTTATGATTGCTTTGAGATGGGTGGGCTTGAGCTTTTTCGCTTGGATGGCATCATTGAGAGCAGAACGGTAGTTACCTGACAAGAAAGCAACACTGCTCAGAACCTTTTATTTCCATTTAAAATCCAAGCAGATCCCAAGGGGACAAAGCAGCTTGTGCAGACTCTGTAATTCACTATTTCTACAATCTCTGTGAGGTGAGAGGAGGAAGAAAAAGTAAACGAAGAGCAAGATGCGAAAGGACAGAATCCATCAGGTGAGAGATACATAACACAACCACAAGCAAACCACCTCCCAGCTGCAACACACAGCAGCATTGAGAGGCCAGTAACATCTTCCCTGCAGCGTGGGCGCTGTTTATAGGGTGGGTGGTAACTTGAGGAGAATGTGGCCAGGAAGGAGGGATAAAATGCGTTGCTTCAACAGATTTTTGAGGCTAGGGCATCCCTCTGTAGTTCCAGTCACCCCATGAATCTGTTCAGCATAAAAAACTGCTGGCTTTGCCCTCTTCTGGAGCCAGGCGGCAGGTAACAGCTGTAACAAAGCACAAACCCTGCATACAACCAGGTGAGCCAGGTCTTCAGGGTTCAAGGTGTCCTCTTCTCACCAATAAGCCATTTACTGTGCTGTATCACAACAAAAAAAAAAAAAGCAAAGAAAAAGAAAACCCAAAATGGGGAGGAAAAGCAGTTTTGGATGGCGGAGCCCCCCTCCCGGGATGTCCCGTGTCCCATTACCGAGGTGGAAGTTTGCAGCGCCCCGGTTTGTGTGCAGCACGGCGCCCAGCTCCGGGTCCCCGCATTCCTTCTTCAGCCCCTCGGTGTAGGCGGCGATGGCTCTCCCGTAGTCCCGCTCCCTGAAGTACTCGTTCCCCTCGTTTTTGTACATCCTGGCCAGCTCTGCAGGGGACGGACAGGGCCTGAGCTGGGGGCGCAGCTGCCCGCGGACACCTCCTTGCCGGGGCTGGCGGGGCAGGCCGCCAAACCCGCCCTCCCC